GGGGGGGGGGGGGGGGGGGGGTCCGCGAGTACGAAAATCGGCATGTGATCCGAGATCGGCACTGCGGCCGTGTCAATGGCGGATGCATTCACGGCAGGTCCAGTACAACATGCCGGTAGGGGCGAAAGAACCAAATCAATACGGGAAAATAGAGGGAAACAACCGCATCTACAATTTAAACATTCATCCCGGACGACTGGCGACTAAAAACAAAACTCAAAGTGTAGAAACTATCACGGGGGAAAGCGGAGAGGCTGCTGAAGTATGTAGATACCTTGTCCTGGAAGTCTCTCTCCATGATCTCGTCCAACCCCTCCGGCGGCAGCCTCAAAGTGTCCGTCTTCTTCTCCTTGCCTGCCACCTCGCTCCACTCCTCGATACCTTTCCGGAGGAGAACAGTTCAAGCGGGACGCAAGGGGAGAAGGCTGTTCATAGAATCATCGCCACGGCTGTTGCAATTGCTGTGGTCAGCTGGTCGTGTTCTTCCTCCAAGAGCGGCCATGCTACTATTTATACAGTTTTTCGGGGTTGTTTGGACTCGCAGTTCACACCCCAACATCCGCCTCGAGCACTTAACCAAAAAAAAAGCGAGCCTGTCCCTTCAAGAGCAACACAAGTACGAATGCGTAACAAGGGCTTTCGTCCTTCTTCGGCGACATAGTTCGAAGGCTTGAACATACGCTGCTATACTTTCGTGCGCTAGCATGCAGCATACTGTGACAAATTCGAGGATTTCCTCCACGGTGCCCCGCGAATACCATCTACGGTTGGCGGGGGCGTGGGGTGGAGGGTCGGGTTATCTGTTCGCGTATCTTCCATAAAACAGCAACAGAGCAAGAGAACAAAGGATCTAAAACAAAACACAGCAGAGGTAGCCCGCAATGAGGAGAACACTCCGGGGCTCCTGCCATCGCATTTGACCCCTTCTGTTGCCAAGAAAACAGAAACACGCCGTCTGCGTAAACGACGCTGTCGTATTTTCTAGCGCAAAAGCAACTACCCGTTGACACATACGCGAGGACCTGATACAATGGAGAAGCACACACGAACAAAATGAGGAAAACATTTAAGCGCTCGCAGACCTGGGAATGCTCGAATATCACAACACATGAACGTGTCGCAAAAAATTCTCACCTAGACATAAGTCCCTGACCGCCGCGTGCCCCACCTCAATGGCGCGCATCATGTCCTCCTCGCCGACAAAGTCGCTTTCCCCCTCGATCATTAGGACTCCATCCCTGTTTACGTTTTTTTTTTTAATGTTGCGACACGTGGGGGGGGGGGAATGAACAGGGAACTTGTTAAGCGGCGAAACAAATTGTGAAATATTTTAGAAAATGTAAAAGAACACAACTCGAATAGACGACGACAACAACAGCAGCAGCGGCAGTCACCACTATTCAGTGTTACGGCTTGCCCGCTAGTACCAACAAGGACGCGCTCGGGCAATGCATAGCGACGAAAACGATGTCCCGATTGCAGGGTTGTAGGACAACAAGGACAACGGACTTTAACGACACCATCAACAACAACCTTTGGATTCGTTGCGTGCAGCAATCTTGGTGTGCCGTGTGGACAAAAACAAAAAACAGACACTGAAACTCACGCCGTGCCGGCGATGGTGAGGTTAAGGGGTGACATTGCCGCCACAGACATCTCCGGGTTGACCACGAGTTCTCCCTCCGAGTCCATGCCGACCTGAGAAAAAGAAAACATCGAGCAGGCCAACACGAAGAGCGCAAGCATGAAACGCCGCAGACGAACAAAGTGACAGACGACCAACCACTGCTGTGAAGGTGAAAACCACACAAATTCGAAAGGGGAAAAATGCACGAAGCGTTACGATGGTCGGTCCAACAAAAGCCCGTTCTATTTTTCGAACAAAGTACAAGTACAAGTATAAGTCCGTACATTCATAAAACGCCAAAGACAGCAGAACTTTAGTCTTCCTCTTGCATTCTTCGAACGCTACAAACAGCCGCGATCGATTTTCTCGATACGACACAAGGAGACAAGTACCAGAGCAGCGAATACAACACACAACCACAAACTGCGAGAGAGAGTAGGGCAAACATAAGACAAGCCCAGATACCCCCCCGTCGCCACCCGCGGGTGCGAGAAATCAATTCACCGAGACGACGCACAGATACAGGCGACTACAAAGCTGTGCTGTACGTTAGAGAGCTCCGAGATGTCACGATAAGGGTGACAGGCGTGAGATGTCAAGCAAGAACACAACACGCCTGTGTACTGTTGACAAAAAACGCATCACGACCAGACACCAGATATCAAGGAGAGAGCAAAGTAAAGGGGGGGGGGGGGGGGGGGG